TTGTTACCAACGATTTGACACATCCAATGCTCTTGCAACCATCCCACCCACCCACCCGTAACTTGGTTTGCAACACCTCTTGAGACCGTGACGGTAGGTACCAAATGGCACTTGGCAACGACAGCGACGCCGACGACGATGACGACGCCGACGTCGACGACGACGAAGACGACGACGACACCGACGCCGACGCCGACAACGACGAAGACGACGACGACGTCGCCAACGAAGAAAACGACGAGGGAGGAGGGTGGACGGCGACGACGCGAACGACGAAGACGGAGAAAGGACGGCGACGCCGACAACGACAACGATGAGGGAGGAGGGAAGACGACGACGACGACGACGACAGCGACGACGACGACGGCGACGGAATAGGAGGGACGACGACGAGACGCCGACGACGGACGACGACGACGAGGGAGGAGGGGGAAGGACGACCACGACGACAACGACGACGGAAACGACCACGACGCCAAAGCGGACGACGACGACGAACACAAGACAGAGGACGACGTAGGCGACGACGACGACGACGCGAGAGGAGGGAGGACGACGACGACGACAACGACGACAACGACGACAACGACGAGGGAGGAGGGAGGACGGCGACGACGCGAACGACGAAGAAGGATGAAGGACAGTGCCGCCGACGACGACAGCGACGAGGGAGGATGGAAGGCGACGACGACAACGACGACGACGACGACGACGGCGACGAAATAGGAGGGACGACGACGAGACGCCGACGACAGACGACGACGACGACGAGGGAAGAGGAGGATGGACGCCCACGGCGACAACGACGACGGAGACGACCACGACGCCAAAGAGGACGACGACGACGAACACAAGACAAAGGACGACGTAGGCGACGACGACGACGACGACGACGCGGGAGGAGGGAGGATGGCGACGACGACGACGACGACGACGCATGAGCGCGCGCGCACGCTTTTGTTGAAAATCCGTGTTGCGAAACCGTGGGCGTTTGTAGGTTTTGGGGCACACGATGTTGAAATCCTTCAGACACCGATGGGTTTTGAAGGATTTCGGCTTCCGCGCGCGACCACGCACGCGTCTGCAATTCGTCCCGTTTTTTGCAGAGGATTCTCGCGACGGCACACGCGCAAAGGCGTTCGACAGATTTCGACATGTGCGCGCGCGAAGCCCGTTTGGTAGCATTTTTTGAATTTCTTAAGATGTCGCAAGAGCTCGCGCGTAAACTTTGTTTAACAAATCAATGTTGCGAAACCCTGTGTTTTTGTATGTATTTTGGAAACACGATTGCGACATCCGTCCGACACCGAAAGTTTTTGACGGATTTCGGCATGCGCGCGCGACGACGCGCGCGTGTGCACTTCGTCACATGTTTTGCCAGGGATTCGCGAAACAGTCTTATGTTAGAAGAAACCATGTCCCCGCGCATTGTTTTTGCACAATGGAACATCAAGGGGAGCGATACCGCCCCCCCCGGGATACTGTAAATTCATGATTATGATGGACATGTGGTCATAATGATATATGATTTACATACCCGAATAGTGAATGGATAACGCCAGGGGGGGAAGAGTCCATTCTTTTTTAGAAAAGGAGAATGCATTTTTGTTCGCAGTGAGTTGTCCTCTCCACTGCTCACGCAAACATCCCACCCACCCACCCGCAACTTGGTTTACAACATCTCGTGAGACCGTGACGATGGGTACCAAATGGCACTTGGCAACGACAGCGACGCCGACGACGACAGCGACAACGACGACGACGACGCCGCCGACAACGACTAGGACGACACCGACGACGTCTCCAACGACTTCGACGACGCCGACAACGAAGACGACGACGACGACGACGACGACGACGACGACACCGACGACGACGACGCCGACGCCGACGACGACGACGACGATGACAACGACGACGACGCCGCCGACGACGACGACAACGACGACACCGACGACGACGACGTCAACGACAACGACGACGACGACGACGGCGACGACGACGACGAAGCCGACGTCGGCGACGACGAGGACGACGTCGACGCCGACGCCGACGACGAAGACGACGACGACGTCGCCAACGAAGACGACGACGAGGGAGGCGGGAGGACGACGACGGCGACAACGACGACAACGACGAGGGAGGAGGGAGGACGGCGACGACGCGAACGACGAAGAAGGAGGAAGGACGGCGACGCCGACGACGACAACGACGAGGGAGGAGGGAGGGACGAGACGACGACGACAACGACGACGACGACGACGACGAAATAGGAGGGACGACGACGAGACGCCGACGACGGACGACGACGCGCGACGAGGGAGGAGGAGGAAGGACGACCACGGCGACAACGACGACGGAAACGACCACGACGCCAAAGAGGACGACGACGACGACGAACACGAGGAAAGACAGAGGAAGACGTAGGCGACGACGACGACGCGGGAGGAGGGAGGACGGCGACGACGACGACGACGACGACGACGACGACGACGCAAGAGCGCGCGCGCAAGCCTTTGTTGAAAATCCGTGTTGCGAAACCTTCTGTTTTTGAATGTTTTTTGGACACACGATGTTGAAATCCTTCCGAAACCGATGGGTTTGAAGGGTTTCGGCACACGCGCGCGACGACGCGCACGTCTGCACTTCGTCCCGTTTTGTTGCAGAGAATTCTCGCGACGGCACACGCGCAAGGGCGTTCGACAGATTTCGACATGCGCGCGCGAAGCCCGTTTGGTAGCATGGTTTGAAAGTCTTCAAACACAGTTTTTTCACAAAAAATAATAAAACAAAATCCGCAAGAGCTCGCGCGTAAGCTTGTTTAACAAATCAGTAGTTCGAAGCTTTGTGTTTCTGTAAATATTTTGGAAACTCGATTGCGAAATCCTTCTGGCACCGAAGGTTTTTGAAGGATTTCGGCATGCGCGCGCGACGACGCGCGCGTGTGCACTTCGTCACGTTTTTTTTTTTTGCAAGGGATTCGCGACAAAATCTTATGTTAGAACAACAAATGTCTCCGCGTATGGTTTTTCACAATGGAACCTCAGGGGGAGCGATACCGGCCCCCCCCGGGATAGTGTAAATTCATAATTAGGATGGACATGTGGTCATAATCATGTATGATTTACATACCCGAAAAGGGAACGGATAACGCCGGGGGGGTAGAGTCTATTTTCTATTTAGCAAGGATAATCAGCGTCGTGCGCCCTGTGTGGAGCAGTTAATTTCTGTTCGCAGTGAGTTGTCCACTCCACTGCTCGCGCAATCATCCCACCGACCTACCAGCAACTTGGTTTGCAAACCTCATGCGGCGGCGATCGCGATGAGTGCTTGGATACGATTGGTGCATATCTACGGTCGCGCTAGCTCGCACATGCTCGCGCGCGCAGCGGCCAGATAGTTTGGCGCTGCCGTCGCGTCCGCTGTGGCGCTGACCGCTGGGCACTTCCCAACGAGCATTTCATTGCGATTCAGCGATTGTGGCGGGCGCGGTAGCACGACGACGCGATGATGCTGGTAGCGATGCTGGTGACGATGGTAAGAACGACCACGGCGAGCCCAATGACGGCGCCGATGCTGATCACGCTGGTAACGATGACGATGTCCTCGCGTCGGCCACGAAGGCTTTGGACAGAGTTCGACATGCGCGCTCGGCCGACGCGCGCGAGTGGCCCGCGTTGAATTATTTGACACTGGTCGTGCCCCCCCCCAGCACGCGCGCAAGGGCATTCGAATGAGTTTGACATGCGGCGCGAAACGCTCATTTCGCAGAATGCGATGGACATGTTGGAAAAAGCGATGGTGTTCTTGAACATCCACAAGAGCGGGAATGCATGATTTTCTGAAAACGAATGATCGTTTTCTTATTCGGCGTTTCGACATTGAGCCGCAGGGGGGTGGGAGGGGCGGGGTCTGGCTCCGGACCTCTGCTTAGCGAGACTGTTTGGAACAGCGCTCCAATGGGAAATTCTCTGGGGAGTCGTCCACCTGCTTGAAACAGGCGCCCAAAACAGCCAAGATCTACTCCGACGGGGGGGGGGGAGGGGGGGGCGAGGGCCTGCGCCGATCGGTTTTGCAAACCAATTTTATCAAAACAGAAGAGGCCAAAAGCATGTTTCGGGGCACTCGATTTTGAAATCCTTACGACACCAAAGGTTTTTGGAGGATTTCGGCATGCGCGCGCGACAACGCGCGCGTGTGCACTTCGTTCCGTTTTTGTTGCAAGGGACTACTGCGACAGCACGCGCGCAAGGGCGTCCGAACGATTTTGACACGCGAGCGCGCGAGAGGCTAAGCTGGAAGCATTCCATGAACATGTTGACATACCAATGGTTTTCTAAAGAATTCGCAGGAATGCGAACACAAACTTCGTTGGAACATTCTTGTGGCGAAACCATGTGATTTCTATATGTTTCGTGACAATCGAGAAAAACCTTGCGAAACCAAAGGTGTTTGACGGATTTCGGCATGCGCGTGCGACGACAAGGGCGTGCGCATTTCGTCTCATTGTTTGCAACGGATTCTTGCACATTTCTGATGTTTGATGAACGATTGGGCGCGCATAACACTTGTTTCAAAACATGAGGGGGCAAACTCCCGTTGGGCTGGGGTAGTATGAATTTGTATTTGAGATGGACGACGGGGCAGAACCATACTTACATGCAATACGAAAAGGTGGACCGTGAACCCGGGGGGGTAGATCCTCCTACTCTTTTAGGAAGGAGAATATATGTGGTGCAGTCTTTGTGGGGCAATCTATGTGGTACAGTCTATGATGCGCAATCTGCATGGTGCAATACGACGGGCGGCGACGAGGCGGCGACGGGGCGGCGACGGTGGCAACAACCGCGGCGATCGACAGACAGGCCCAGACGACGGGCGGCGACGATGCGGCGACGGGGTGGCGACGGCGGCTACATAGCCGCCAGACCGACACAGGCCCAGACGACGGGTGGCCACGAGGTGGCGACGGGGCGGCGACGGCGGCTACACAGCCGCCAGACGGACAGACAGGCACAATTCCTTGGAACAGAAAAAGAACTCCTGAGTGCAAGCACTGTTTAGGGGAACTTACCCAAGTCTGAAGACAGCCTCTATCCCGGCCCGCCCTGACCTCTTGCCCTCCCTTGCCTTCCCCCGGAGCGCGGCCCCCAGCGTCCTGGGGGAAAATTGCCGCCGGCGAGCGTGGCGTTCGCTGGCAGGTTGTCGGACGACAGCGTCGACATCTGCTGGAGGCTTCGGTCGGCCCCTGGGAGGGAGGGGGGCAGGGGCAAACGCCTACGCCTCCTCTCGTGGTGAAACAACAGCGATGCACGACGCGAAATTCTTTGGGGTGTGTCGCCCTCCCGGCTCGTCGCCTGGCCCCAGGGAAGGGACCAGATCTCTGGAGGTCCACGTTGTGAAACTTCCAAGACGTCGGAGTTCTGGGGAGGGCAGGGCAGTGGAGGGGAGAGGCGGGGCGGGGGTGGACGAACGGGGGATGGGGAGGGTAACATCTTGGGGAGGGAGAGAGGCAAAGGGAGGGATGAAGATTGGACAGAAAGGGGAGGGAAGGTGTCGGGAAGTGCAAATGGGGGCGCGAGGATACAGATGAGTGGGCGATGGAAGGATGAGGGGACGAGGGCGGACGGGAGGTAGACGGGAGATGGCGCGCGGCAAACGAGTGAGTGGGAGAAGGCGGGGAAGTGGGTCGCAGGGAGAAAGTATTAGCGCAGGGGAGTGGCATCTCAAGGCAGCGGGGGAGTCTAAGAGAGATATCTGGGGGCAATCGATATTCCTTGGGACCTCTGCCGAGCCGCTCACAAATGCACGGGCTTGCGCTGGGATATCGTCCAGCGCCATTCGGCTGCGCGGGTCGAGCAACAACACTGTCACCATCGCAAAACTGAACTCGCACAGCGACCCGCAAAACATGTTTTAATGGCAACTGTCCTCGGATGCTCGGGGGGAAAGACCCTCCGAGACGAGCTCTAGAATCCAAGGCACGGTGAATGCCGCGATTACTCAGAGGAAGACGCTGTGGCGGCACTCAGGTCATGAAGAGCCCATCCCGCCCCTGTCTGTGTAGGGCACGGATCCGAGAGAGCTGGAAGAAGGACCTATTTTCGGCAGTAGAAGCTTCGGCAGTAGCAGCTCGCCGTGAATGCTGCCTCGCCAGACCTCCCTGTGCTGGAGCATGATTCAGACGCGGAAGGTCGCTTGGGAAGTGTGCGTAGGAACATTCCCGAATTCGAGCAGAGCGGGGCCACAGGCATGCCGCCACAGCGACTCGTATGGACGCCGCGGCCGCCGCAAGCGCTTCACGTCAGTAGCAGGCTTGGGACCAAGGCGCTGGGGAATACCAGCTGCCACAAAGTCGTCGGCCGGGCAGGTGACGCGACGGCATCATGGTCCTCCTCCTCCGCGCCCACAAGCGAGCAGGCGACCCGGGCCCCCCCTGTGAGGGCGTGAACCACGAAGGCCTTGCCCACCTGGTCGGCGAGCGTAAGGCCAGTGGCGACCTCCGCAGCGCCCGTCGAGGTTCCAGAGGCGTCCGCGACGTAGACGACGTCGGCCCACGGATCCGAGCTGAGGCTCGCTGTGTTCGGCGCAGGTGGATCCCTCGTGCACGTGGATGCCGCACCCGTTCGCCACCTCGTCCCCAGCGCCGGCGGTGCACTCGGAGTCCACGCCCGTGAGGTCCCACGTCAGGACCTGGGAGGCGACGCCCGAGCTGGCTATGCTGACCGTGCCTGCGACGCTAAGGCTGCCTGTGTAGCCTGGGTAGCTCTCGAAAGAGACCGCACTCGCCATCTCGCCCGCCACCAGCACGCCGCACGCGATCCTGCGGCCGCTGGTGAGCTCGTGGATCACGAACGCCCGGCCTACAAGGTCCCAAAGCATCAATCCGGTGTCCACCGTCGTCTTCGAAGAGGACATTCCCGAATTGTCCGAAACGTACACGACGTCCGCCCAAGGATCCGTGCTGCGATCGTTGCTGTAGTAATGGCCTCCAACGTCGTCGGCGACATCGCAAGACATGCCTTCGTGCACGTGGATGCCACAGCCGTTGGTCACATCGTCTCCTGCGCCGGACATGCATGCTGTGTCCAAGCCTGCAAGGTCCCATTGGAGAGTCTGTGTCGTGTCTCCCGTGAGGGTCACGACTCCAGTCACATTGAGGCCTCCTTCGTATCCAGGGTACTGACCGATTCCACTGCTCACTGACAACATTGTGGGAGCGGCCTGGAGGATACCACATGCGATGCGCACGCCGCTCGTGAGCCCGTGCACCACAAAGGCCCTCCCAACGAGCTCCGAGAGTGTCAGTCCGGTTATTACTGTTGTGCTGCCCGACGATGCGGTTCCACTTGCGACGTACACAACGTTCGCCCAAGGATCCGTGCTGATATCGCTGCTGTAAAAATGGCCTCCAACTTCAGCGGCGACATCGCAGGAAGTCCCTTCGTGCACGTGAATGCCACAGCCATTGGTCACGTCGTCTCCTGCGCCCAACGTGCAGCTGGGGTCGATACCCTCCAGGTCCCAGTCGAGGTTCTGCAGTGCAGAATCGTCAGTAGCGGCTCTGATTGTCACCGTCCCCGATACACTGGTGTATTCCCCTGTGTAGCCCGGATAGGTCGACAGCGTGCTCAGACCCGCCGTCAGCGACGAGCCAGAGAGGATGCCGCAGGCGACACGACCTCCCCCCGCGAGCTCGTGCACCACAAAGACCCTGCCCTCCATCTCCGAGAGTGTCAGCCCTGTCGCTACCGTCGCGCTGCCCGACGACTGCGAGGAGTTCGCGCCCGCGACGTACACGACGTCCAACCAGGGATCAGTGCTGATATCGCTGCTGTAGTAATGGCCTCCAACGTCATCAGCGACGGCGCAAGAAGTTCCTTGGTGCACGTGAATGCCACAACCATTGGTCACGTCGTCTCCGGCGCCCGCCGTACAGGCGGCGTCGATGCCCTGCAAATACCACGTGAGGGTCTGGCTTGTTGCATCGTCGTCCGCGGCCATGATCTGCACCGTGCCCGAAACGCTGAGGTTCCCGCTGTAACCTGGGTAGGGCATGAAATATGGCGCGCTTATCACCAGCGTCGTGGTCGCAACGATCATGGCGACGCCGATGGCTCTCGACGGGGCAGGCTGCGAGGAAGCTGTGGAGCCGTGAGGTGCGGCGAGTAAGGCCAGCGCCTGAGGTCGGGTTGCCTTGAGCCAGATGGCTACGGAGTCTGGCTTGATGATAAGGATGCCCAATAACACGAGAGAGGCGCTCATGCACCGCACCATGTTCGGAGTCCCTTCAGGTCCCGCTCCAACGCGGTGCGGTACAAACTTTTTTTCGTTTCTGGTGGCAGAAGAACTTTGCTCCGTACCTTTCCTGGGTCGAGGATCGACGACGCCTCGAGAGACGACAACGCGGTACGGTGCACACAAGGTCAGGATGCAAGCACTGGGGGAGCCCAAGTTGAAGCCTTCCTGAGCGGTGCATAGTCAGCACAAGCTTCTAAGGACGGGCGCAAGCGGCCAAGATGCAAGGGCACCCTTGGACATTACAGCTGGGCCGTAGCTGGAGGACACCCTGACTGAGGCAGACCTGCCAGCGGTGACCTGCCGTTAGTCGGGGGGACCAAAGAGTCTCAATGTCACGCCGCCGCAGGGGCCCCCAGCGCCCCATCGGCGTGTTACTGTCGACGTGCGTTGTCTTCTTCCGGCGAGGGTAACGCGCCGATGGGACCCTGGGGCCCCCCGCGGCGGCGCGGCATTGATGCCCTCTCTCCCCCCCCAAGGTAGAACCTGCGGCAGGCCGAATTACGCCGCGATGGCGCAGGCGCTGGCGGCTGGCACCGCCCACCAGCTGCACCACCCAGCCCCGAGCACGATCGCCGCCCTCCCCCTGCCGAGACCGCTCCAAGACCCAGCCGAGCTCCCCAAGACCTCCAGTCTCGCTGTCCTCTCGTCCCCAGGCTCGGCTCCTCGCCCCGGGTCGTCTTTCGGCGGCGCACGAGGGGGGAGAAGGGAGAGGGAGAAGGCCTTCTCAGAAAGCGGCGGGGCTTCTCGGAAGCCCCTCGCGCCTTCTGGGAAGTTTTTTCTGCGTCTTCGGGGGATGGCTCGGAGAAATCTTCCCACAAGGCTGCTGGACTCCAGAGCCTTCTGAGAAGGTCCGCCCCTTTTCACTTCCCCCCCTCGCTCGCCGCCGAGTTTTTCCTGACGGCCCCCGAGGCCCAATGAGGGCCCCGAAGGGCAGAAAATGGAAACCTCCGGCCCAATTCTTCCGCGCCTCGGCAGCGCGCACCAGGGACCTGGGCATCGGCCGAGGGTTCTTTGGCGGAGGGGGGGCGGCCGCTGGCGGCTCGGAGCCGCCGCGGCCACCCTGGGGGCGCCCGGCCATGCCATACAGTCATCGGCCTGACCTAAGGAACGATCAATTAAAGAACGAAGCCCCCTTTTCCCAAGGCATCACGCATGAGGAACGATCAATGAGAAACAACGCATAAGGAACGAGACATAACGCATACGAACGACCGAGCCCTTTTTTGAAAAGTAAGAGATCCTTACTCGAGCCGCTCACTGTGGCAAGGTCCCCGGGGATCCCGAGAGACTCGCGACCCAGCAGACTCAGTCGGTCCTCGATGGGGGGGAAGCGGGAGAGGGAGAAGGCCTTCTCGGGAGGCGGCGGGACTTCTCTCAGAGGCCCTCGCGGCTCCTGGAAATTGTTGCCTGGCTTCGGGGAAAGTTCGGGAACCTTCTCGGGGGGCCCGGGGGACTTCCGAACCTTCTGAGCAGGCCTTCGCATCCTCACTTCCCTCTATCTTCGGTCGTCGATCCTCGTTCCTCCAAGTCCAGCCCGCCCAGCTCCTCGACCTCGGATCTGCGACCCCCCCCCCGCCAGCGAAAACGGGGGGCGGGGGGTGGGGTTAGGTCGGAAATCCGCGCGGAGTTCCGAGAGTCTGCGTTGAGGTGAAATCGCCCTTCCTCGGCGCGTCGCCAGAGCCGTCGCTGTCGTGCCACCGTCGTCCTCGTCGCTGTCGCTGTAGCCGCGGCCGCCTCCCCGTTCCCCCCCCTTTGATGCGGCCATGGCCTTGCATGCCGGCCTGCATGGCGCCGTTCTGGCCGGATGCAGAGGAGCCGGCTGCTCCAGACATTGCCTCAGTGCTGCCCGCTCCTCCCCCGAGGCCCAGGGAGAGAACGAGGGGCGTGAGAGACAGCAGGCGCGCGCCAAACAGACGCAATGGAACTCCAGCTCCCTCAGCCAGGCGCGCGACAGGAACGTGCACTGCGCACGTGGGGGCCGACATGGAGTGAACAGTCCTGGGGGCAAGCGCTCCATGCACGGCAGCTACGCTGCACCTGTCGCAACGCCGCGGAGGACGGGGGGGGGGGCTAGGGGAGGGGGGCGAGGAGGAGGAGGAGGAGGAGGAGGAGGAGGAGGAGGAGGAGGGGAAGGGGGAGGGGGAGGAGGAGGAGGAGGAGGAGGACGAGGAGGAGGAGGAGGAGGAGGACGAGGAGGAGGAGAGGGTGGTGGTGGTGGTGCTCAGTTGGGGGCCATCAGTCTGTCATCCTGCAGCTGAGCGAGGCCCCTCCGTTGAATATGGAGGCTGGGCCGCCTGCAAAAGCAGCAGGCCGCCACGGCATGAGGCGACGCGGCGGTGCAAAGACTGCGCGCGATGCCCCGTCGGCGAGGAAGATCCCGCGGGGGATATGAAGAAGTGGAGGGAGGAGGCAAAGCCTCTAGGCTATCCCTAGCTGGCTAGGGGATGCCTTGGGGCTGAGCCTCCTCCCCCCTATAGTGCGATATCGGGAGCGGCGCCTGCTGCCTCTCTGGGAGGCGCGCCGTTGCCGCCAGGGGCGGCATCTCTTCTAATATTGTCAAATTGAAGCGTATTCTGCAGTGAGCTGCGATACTCTTTCACCTGCTGCAAGAGTCTGCTCGCATGCTCACTGCCACCTGCTACCATGCTGCGAAGCGTCTGCTGCCGCCTCGGGTCGTGTGCAATATCTACAATCACTTGACCGTACCTACTTCTCAGCTCCTCTTCAGCGTTCCCTGTTTGATCAGCTGCTTCAGCTGAGCCTCTACTACCCTCTCCAACTCTGTCTTCGGCCCCGCTCCCATTGGCATCGCACCTTTCTGCAGGAACCACGCGTGATTCAGCGCCTCTCGAAGCAGCGCTGGCTGAAATTGGCGCACCTGTGCGATGACCTCCGAGGACGCCTCCGCCAAGCGCAGCGCCGTCTTGAAGTCGACCAGCGGCCTGATGCCGAACATGACCTTGTACATCTCCTCCAGGTCCGACTCGCGCTGGTAGGCCTTCTTGATCCTGAGCATGCTGAATGTCGCGTCCACGAGCCTCTGTCCGTGCTCGCCGCTGGCCGCCCCGACCCACTCCTTGAGCAAGAGCTTGCTCTCCGCCTGCCACTTGTCTTGCTCGTCGAGCACCTCCACCGCCTTCTCGACCACCGCCATCGCGATGTGCACATGCGGCGGCCCCTGCCCATGGCCCTTCCCCAACCTCTTCACCGTGTTGTTGTAGTCGAGGCCTGTGTCGGCCCCTGCCGTGACCATTGCCGACGATCCTGGGACCAGCCAGAAGTCGAATATGCCGTTCATCATGTCGCGGTTCTCCTGGCTGTTGCGCAGCACGAGCTTCTGCACGGTGACGAGGGCCTCCCTGATGTCCGTGCTCTCGCCGTCCTTCGACTTGCCGCCCTTTCCTCGAGCTCCACCCTCTTGTCGTGCCTCCTTCTTGTCTCGTTCTAGGCCAGGCTCTCCTCCTGGTGGTGCTCTCTTCACTCTCCACGCCATCCTCGCCCGCGCAGTCTCGATCGGCAGCCTCCACCACCGAATGTGGTCCAGGCAGGTGCTGTCGGACGTGCTCCTGAAAGCTCTCGAAATTTTGAGCCGAGAAAGCACATGCGCGGCAACTCAAGTCATCGGGGACCTTCACATCGTGGCTCCACTTCGAGTGATCTACGAAGCACTTTCCAAACCTCAATGCTGCCCTGCGACCATGGTCCAAGGCACCTGCTCTATTCACGAAACAGCTCCTGCACCAGGGGCACTGGTTTGTGATGATAATCTTGCTCAATAGAGGTGTCACACCGCGTGCCTCACGACGATGGGCGATAAGGCCTGTTGCACTCAAAAACCTCTTGCCACAGGTCGTTTTTTCTCCTCCCTCCTCCTCCTTCGTGTGATCACACCAATAGGGTCTGTAGTACTCCTCCATCGCCTGCTCCTCCTCCTCAAGAATAACTGCCCGAATTTCCGTCCTCAGTTTTAACCCCGATTTCTCCTCTATATCAGGTGACACCTCCCCGTACCTCTCGACTGCATTCAAGTGCGACGGGTCCGTTTGCAGAAACCTGTCGTTCTCTGGGCTCCCTCGTTTCAATATGCTGATATCGTCGCTTCTCGCATGGCGCCAGTCGGCGAACTCGGGGTCGACGGAAGCCAAATGATCGAGGTCGGACACGAATTGTTTAGCCCAGGGGGTCGACTCGCTGTGCACTCTGAAGTCTTCGGATAATCTGGGAGCCTGGTCCATCCAAGCTGTGCCAAACACCGCTGCTACCACCGCCTGATGATCATCTGGATACTTCGCCCAGCGGAGGTAATTGCGAATCCTTCGTACTCTCAACTGTGTAGCACATCTAGGTATCTGCCATGCTCTGAAAACAAACTTCGTGGACCTGCACCTCCTCTCCCCCTCCTCCGTCACCCAGCTCATCTCTCCTTTAGATAGCACCCTCAAAAACTTCCCCAGGGTCTGGTCTAGGATGCTGACAAACTTATCAGGGATGACGAAGGCAGATAATCCACTAAGAGCGGCTTCCACTACGAAGGCCTGAAACATCGCCCGTCGTATACATTTAGCTGTGGAGGACGTCCAGAAGCACCCGCATTGTCGCCAAGCCTGTCTGGCAGCTTGACTTCTCCTGAGTACCTCGCTCAACATGCCCTGCTCGCTCGGTAAATGCGGACCTAACACACGCATCTCTCGAAGGGCTTGGCCCTTCAGCTCTTTACTACGTCTCAAGCGGCGTGTAGTCTGGTAGTGTCGAGCCCCCCGTAGATCGAGTAGATGGTTCGTTTTGCTGGGGTTGAGCGTCCA